AGAACAAACCTCAATAATACCCTTAAGGTCATCTCAACATTTTAGTTTCACCAAAGGCAATGAAGGAAGAAAGGCCAGCTCTCTACCACTCTTTACAGAATTCAAGCATCTATTCTTATGGGCAGTTTGATTTCCACACAAGGAAATTGCAACCCAATGGTTAACTTGGAGGCCTTGGTTCAAATCCTCACTTTGGACTCAAAGGCTGAAATTCTGTTTCTTTGTTATGCAAGCAGGAGGCATATAGTACAGTATAACATTCACTCACTTCTAGGCAGCAAGTAAAGAGTCCCCCTGCTGAGATTCTGAAGTGAGTACCAAGCCAGCAGGGCATGCATGACCCTGAGAATCACAGCAGTGACTCTATAACTCCCAGCTGGAAGCCATTTCCCTTCTGCTTGCATAAAAAAGCAACAGAATCAGTCTTTGGGTGACCTTGGGTTGGCCCAACCCTGTCAGCCTGATCTATCTCACACAATTCCTACAAGGATAAAAGGGGAAGCCCTGTTTGTCACTATGGAATAGTGGAATAGCAGGGCATATAGTGCATATAGAGAAATAAAGCAAAGAGTAACTTTGGCCATGATAGGGACACTCTGTTTCACTACCTTGTTTTTGAAAGAGCCAATGTCTGAGGCTTGTAATAAAGTGAGAAGGAAAGTGGGCCTATTTACAGGACTCCGTAGTATAAAAATCTCTCTCTGCCTCCAGGAGGCAAATATCACTGCTGAAGGAAAGTATTATATGAAATTGCCATCCGCATCGAGAACTGTTAAACTACACAAGCCCAGGTTATACAGCTAAATCTATGCACTCAAGCTTCACAGGTTAGGTTATAATTTAAATTCAATATTCTCAAAAAGGACCTAAAGCCTTCTCTGAAATGGGATGCATAATGTTTGTCATTTTGATGAAAAGAGAAGAACAGTAGTGAAAGTCACTGACCCAGGAATAAAAGGCCAGAGTTTCTATTCTGAAGCTTTACACAAAACCTCAGGCCAATTCACATGTGTCCAGATCCAGTTTTTTCATTGTGAGCCATTATTTTTATTATTTACAAGATGTAAAACTGTCTTACCAGCTAGTACAAAAGAACTCATTTAGCAGCCAGTGGATGCATAAACCCATCAAATTTGCATTGAGGTAGCTACAATGCCAGAAAATGAAACAATCCAAATTCTAAAATGAGTTACAGCACTGCAAACAGTCCAGTGTATTCCAAAGTACTCATAAAAATGTGCAACCATATTATTCTTAGTACAGTACATGGCAAAAGCCTTTAACGAGATGTAACACAGATAGCACAGTAGTCCCTAGAGTAAGCTTTCAATCTCCTCTGAGTAGGAGATATGCTGAAGTACAGCTGCTTGCAGATATATTATGCATTAAAGTCCAATTTTTGACTTTAAATAAAAAAAGACTCTCTTTGGGGGCTTTTACCAAACCATTTGCAACCCTAACCGGTACACTGATGTGGATGGAAAAATCAAGGAATAGCTACATTGGTAAACTCTCAGTCACCCTTTTCAAACTTTTGGTAACAGAAGCAGAGAGGCTATAAAAAAGGCAAGTGTTTCTTCCAGAGTGCAGAGATGGGTTTGTGTTCAAATTCAGACTTACGAGAAAACTGGGGCAAGAACCACATACGGTAGGAAACATACAGACCACCAAATGTTTCTGGATTAAAACTATAATTCTTGATCCCTGTCCATGCTGGCTGAGGCTGACAGAAGACTGCTTGCGTCCATAAAAAAAAGGACAAGATGATGGGCAAACCACCCCACTTCACATGTAGAACTGACTTGGCAGTTGAATTTTATTTTAACATTGGTGATGGAACTGTATTTTTCACCTCCAAGGTCAACTCAGTGCCCCTCAGCAAATCACATGACAGGCAACACTCTGTCCTTCAATTCTTTGTACTTGCGCCCTTCTCCCAGCACCTGCCACCTAAAATGGCTGCCATATTGTGTGTAATGTTAGGGTCAGACCTAGGAGTCGGAGTCTAACAAGACCTTGAGGGCTACAGTTGCTCACTTAGAACCTATGGGATTCAGATAATATTGACCTAATTTTGTCTCACTTCATTTTCCTTTATTGAAACGTTCAGGAGATAAATAAAGAGTTTGAAATTAGTTACAAGAGAATCCATAACTCCTGGCAAGGTCTTTCTTCTCAACACTAATGATAAGGGAAGTGAGAGTGCTGTTGCTGATGGGTAAAGTTCAAAGTGTTATGGAAAAACACAGTAGTCTGTGAATTAATCAGGATAGGAAGGAGAATGAGACAACTGGAACAACCTGGAATTTCTTGTCTGTATAGACAGGAGCTATTATCTCTGGATAACAGCCTCAAGACAATAGTTCTAAGGCAAAAACATCTAATATCTGATTTCGCCAACAAGCCTTGACTGAAAACATTCCTCTAGTGTCTTAAACAAGGCCAAAAGTTCTAGGGCTCTTTTTTTCAGATTTGTTGGACTGTGCTGAGTTCTTACCAATACCCCCCTTGCAAATTCAAAGGACAGTAGCTATACCTCCTCATCAATAATTTATAAAATGTTGACTGTTTTTCCATTCAGTAAGCTCCAAGTTAAAAAAATGTATCAGGCATATTCAGAACAGCACACTGTATAAACTCCTGTGAGAAAAGCAGAAAAGGATAAGAAGCACAGGATAACTGAAGAAACTGAGCATGCTTCTATTTGCAGATATTACATTCTCCTTTAAGTCTTGTTATTAACCAAGCGTAAACAAAGTGTGCCTCCCTAGGTGTTCTTGAAATGCAATTCCCAGCATCCCTCACCACTGACTATGTTGGCTATGGTACAATATTATATATTTCTGCACCGAAGGAAGTCCTATTAAATTCAATGCGGCTTACTCCTAGGAAAGAATGCACATATAGGTTTGCATCCTTAGAAAATCCATGTGCTGCGGCAACAACACAGCATCTAAGTTTGACACACTTGGTTCTTTCTTAAGCATGTTGATATAAAGGTAGTGCTTACTTCACAATTACAGTATATCAAACCTGATCCATGCTCTCCTCTATCTGCTTCATTTCTAGCTGAAATACTTTTTGGTTTGTAGAATTGAGAACATGCTAATATTTATTAGAGAAAAGAACTGCAGTCTAGTTTATTTTTTCAGCCCTCCGTGAAGAAGTTATTCCTCACAGAATGTTGCAATGGAGGAATATTTCAATTAAACCTGTTTTCTTCTTCAGCCTTGTATTTGCTTTTCCCCAACACTCCTTTAGCAGTTTGCAACAAAATATTTGCTGCAAACCCACAGGATTCTTTACACCAAGCATATCCCCTTTAAACACATCTCCTTAACTTTCTTAGAAGGGGCACGGAAGGAGCTTCCAGGGAGAATGTGAGGATCGTGAGCACATTTGGGCAACCCATGGGCAATGACCCTGGCAGCTGATCCGTCCCTTCTGGAAACACCACTGAGTTGCCTCTGACACAAACAATGAAGAAATGCTTTCTTAGAGCGCATCATCCCTACCGTAACTATTTCATCACTTCCCAAAGTGATGTGCTCCTCACTCCAACTCACTTGGCTGGCAGAAACCGCAATTAAAAACCAGTGCCAGCAGTCTGAAGCTCGAGGGTACTCTGTCTTCCCTTTCACAATTAATGTCACCATTGTGCTCTTCCATCTGCAACACTCACAGTCCCTTTTGCTTTCCTAGAGAGAAGCACCAGTTTTAACATCCCTGGCACAAATTCTAGTCTGGAAAAGCAGAAAGCTGCAGTTATTCTCATGAACTTGTCTTATTCTGGGAGCCACTTAATCCTAACGCAAGCAACTTTTATGTCAAAGAAATCATTCTGAAGACAGTTTATCCATACTTAGACTCATATCCTCCCCCCCCCACTATGAAGCCACCAGAGAACTCCAAAATTTGCATGATCAAAATATCATATTCAAATCCAAATAGATTAACCTCTACTCTGATGTGTCAGGCAAGAAAGGCATACTGTACATCTCTTAGAAGTTGAATAATGTAATAATTCAACTTCTTAAAGATCAAATAATTCCATTCCTTTTCGAATAAACAGATCCGGAATAACGAAAGCAGACCACTTTCTCTCCTTTGCTGGCCTTATAAAAACAAATCTAGTAAGGAAAAGGGGTATGGAGGCCAGGATAATATGGGAGAATAGAGATGTCCATATGAACACAAGATTCCTTGGGTTATATAATGCTCAATTCCATTGTCTGAGGGCTTCAAGAATGATGAAGATTTTAAATAAACCAGTATATGGCTGACAGTGAATCGGGCAGCATGTCCTAACCCTCCTGTATTGATAGACAGGTAGGATATAAATGAAATAAATAAATCTCATAAACAGAAGATCCAGTGACAACCCGCTAACAGGACTTCATGTTCTAACTAGATACTTCCACAGGATTTGGATGATACTTTGTTTCAAAATCATCCCAGGAGCCTAGAACACAAGCTACCAGGAAGATATACTACTGTACTGGAATATCGGCTTCCTGAGACGTTAGTCTTCTGCGTGCAGGGATATTCTCCCACTTTCCCCAAAAGAACTTTCCAAGGAAGGAGTTTTCGCCTGCAATCTGGGGTTGGTGTAATCAGGGCGCCCAAGGTTTCCAAAACTAGATAGGTCGCAGAGAGCTTCAGACCTTAAGGACTACTTTCGTGGCTGCTTTCTTCCAAAAGCCGACTGACCTAAGTTCCTTTCCTTTAAGCCCCTACAACCGAGCATTAAAAATCAAACAATCCATCATGCCCTCCCCCTGAAAAATCTTGGCCGATAAGGAGGAAGCGGCAGAGAGCTGACTTGAAGGGGTAGGGGTGGGGGGGAGCGCCTGAAAGAGAAGGAGCTTGTTCTTCTAGCCCTCCTCTGCCTCCCCGGCGTCGCTGTACCTTTGCTCTGTTTACACTGCAACGCCGCTGAAACAGAAGCGCACCGCGGAAAGTGGGGGGAAGAGGAAGGAGAGTCCGCGGCGCTGACTTACCCGGTGGCGGCGGCGGCGGCGGCGGCTGAGGGGGGAGCCACGCTCGCTCACGCGTCTGCCGGCTCTCTCCTTCTCTTCTACAGACCAGAAGAAGCGGCAAAAGTCCCACTTCCACGCGTGGGCTCTCGCTTCTCCACCTCCACGCCTCCCAGCTGGGAGTCCCACCCCCCTCCCGGGTCAGACTCGGGCAATAAAAGGGAAGAAGTGGAGGCTGCTGGTTTCCAGCGGCAACCTGAGCGAGGCAGCCAGCCAGCCGGGCAGGCAGGCAGGAGCTCGTCAGGGGGAGGAGCCACACCGAGCGACACCCATCCCCCCCCCGCTGAGGGCGGGGAGACTTCACGCGGCGCTGGCCCCTCCTCCTCTTCCTCCTCCTCCTCCTCCTCCTCCACTTCCCCGGCCGGGCTGGGACTGGCCCCTCGGACGGGCGGCCAAATGGGAGGGGTCCTCTCGTGGTCGGTCTACCTTTCCGCGGTCATTTGGCAGAGAGGGACGGGAAAGGCAGGAGTTCAACAGGTGTGGTTTTCACGGACTGTTTGGGATTCTCTCTGATAATCGGGCGTAATGGTGGCCACGGGCAAAGGTGGCTTTAAGGGGAGGAGTACGTGGCTTCCTGTGGGAGAGGCCCATCAGTGGCCATGTTTTCCATCTTGGAACTTAGTTGAGTTTGTGCAGATAACTTTTAAAAAAAAAAAACTTGTCTGTTTCTGTTCCTCATCCTGTGCTACCTTCTGGTGAAGAGTTTTGGGAGAAAAAGTTTGCCCTTTTTTCAAAAAAATAAACCACACCACCCCCCAGTTTGGACTAATAATGAACCACCTTTGTATAGATCAATATATCTCTGTGAGTATACATACGATGTGTAATAACTGTCTAAAATATTCAGGTTCAGTTTTTCCTTCAGTACCTCTTGCAGCCTGGGGCAAATCCAAGGTGTACCACTGCTTTCATGCTTTACTTGCATGCATCCCAGACTTTTCCTCAAGTCCAGTGTAGGACACAAGATGCTGCAATAAATAGATGCTTTTTGATCTCATACAGGAGGACTGATACGGTGTTCTTGGCAGCAAACTCCAAATAGGCAAGGGTCAGCAGTGATATCCCTGCTGCATTTCTGCACAAAAGCCCTGCTCGAAATATGTTGGCAACGCTTGTGGCTTGTTCACTATTAGAAGCCAGGACATAACGCAACGCTCCTCCAATGCAGTGTTACCGGGTATAACTATTGAAGGATTTTCATGTCAATGGCACTTACAGCAACAATAAAATGTCATAATTGAGGGTTTTTTCTTTGATGTTTTTGCTGGCCTTGAAAGCAGGTCAGACAAAAGTGAGACATGAGACTTGGTGTATCGTTTGTTTTGGACGGTCTCATAGGGTTTTTGAGGCATATACATTCACAATAGAGTACCACTGCCTTGTTCTGCAAAGCATGATGAAGAGTTCACTTGAGGGTCACTGCCATGGCCTGTAAAAGATCCTCTGCCAGTGTCCCCTTTCACTATTGCTACTCTTGCAGAATTTCTTCATCTGCATCACTTTTAGAATAGTCCATTTTCTTCTGCTGATGCAACCTTTAATTCATGAACAGGACGGATGTATCTTAGTTCAGCGGCTAGACTTCGACTATTCCGCCTTGGATAACCCTGATAAAAACCTGTCATCCTGACAGTACTGCTTTCAGCTTCCATGGCACATTTAGATTCCCCTTGTCATGCATCCAAGAGCAGGACTCCAAAGCAAATGATACTATCATATGTAGAGATGCGAAAACTGATCAATGAAGAAAGCTCCTTCGATCCATTGTACTGTAACAGAGCTTTATGGATGCAATGGGCTGCTAGACAGATAAGCCTGAATTCTCACTAGAAACTTAAATAGCTAAACTGAGATTATTGTACTTTGGGCTTATTGTGAGAAGACAAAAATAATTGGGAAACTGATGGTAGGAAAAACAATGGTAGAAAAAGTAGAATGCAATAAGAGAAGAGGAAGATGTAATAAGAGAGACAGATTAACTCAAGAGTGTTTACAGTAGGACTTTTAGAGGTCATTATTTCATAGGGTTGCCCTAAGTCAGAATCAAGTTGACAGCACAACAAATCATTTGTCAAATTAAATTACATATGTATTTCACCTTTCTTCCAAAGCTTTAAAGGTTTTTAATAGATACTTATCCTTACAATGAGTCATCAAACTCAGGTGAGCTTTGTGAACAAATGGAAATTTGAATCCTGGTCTCTCCAATCCTTGCCCAACTTTCTGATTGTTACATCACATAAAGTTTACCGTTCTGACTATATGTTGTTCTCTTCTCTCAAGTCAAGACCAGTGTTTTGATTTCTTTTTTGAATGCTTTTGTATTCCACATTTGAGTGCTATGTAGCAGAAATCTACATAATAAATATATATATATTTAAAATTACATGGAAGAATCCAACAGGCAATGCTTTTGTTAATGGAGTACTGCTAGGAATATCAAAAGGGCTATCTGAACCAACTATATAATCCAAAATTATTACTTACATAGGGCTGCATGTCTAGTCTTAACAAGCTCTTGAGTTGCACAAACTGTTATTTAGTTAGGAATAAGAACAGGTAAACTTTCAGATTTTGTTATTGTAAGCACTGCTATAATGTTACATTTTGAACAACACCTATCATGACAGTTTCAATAATCCACACTCCAAAGACAATCCAAACAAGTATGACTAACAAAATCCAGCCAAAAATAAAAAATGTGCTGTGGTACCTTAAAGACTGACATTTATTTCAGAAAATAAATAAACTTCAGTGGATTAATCTCACACCGAATTAAATCTGTTAGTCCTTAAAGTGCCACAATACTTTTGCTTTTAAATTTTTCATTACACCTCCTGAAGCAAATTAGCACAATTACATTTTTTAAACCTCCAGAAATACCGCAAACAAATTTTATCAGTATTCGTCTCCATCACTGTTGGATTTTTTTAAAGCTGATGACTCTTGATTGCTCAGTGACTGATAGTTCATACCAAAATATTTTGCAGTAGATGAGAAACAGCTCAGAAGTATATAAAGATGCAGGAAACTATTTTTTTTCTTTCAATTCCTATGAGGGTTGCTCAACCCCAGGTTTGGTTTGCTTTGCTTTGGGTTTTTAAATGTGCAGTTGGACACAAAACATGTAGTTGGAAACTGGTAGATTAACCCTGATGCCTCATTATTAGAGCTGTCCCATTTCTTCTGACTAGATGTCTGTCAGTTTCCATCTGCATATATGTGTGCAATTTACAAATGCACAAATGCATCAATGCCAAAAAACAAACAAAAACAAAAAAACATGCTAAACTCAGAGATAATACAAACCTCAAGTTCGGTGAGAGATGCTGCCATTGTTTCCACCATTGTTTGTACAAGGTCTCATTATTTGACACTGAGCCCTTGTTCTTATACACTACTAATAATATGGTAATATAATTATGTTAATAAAGCCCCCAATAATAATTGTATGCTGTCCAGTCAATCATGATTTATCCTGACCCTCTCCACAATACAGAGTACTCAGAATTCACCCTGTGGTGACTTTCCATAGCTGTGTGGGGATTAAGAGCTGGTCTTCTGAGTCCTAATCCATCACTCTCCATCAGCTGCATCACAATGGGTCAGAAGTGGTTTACCATTCCTTTCCTCTTAAGGTGCTCTGAGACTGTACCTTTTGAGCAAAGCTACACAGGCAGGCTCTTCTCCCAGGAAGCACAGTGAGGAACTGAACTCTGGACCTTCATATCTGCTGCTAGACACCCAACTCATTGAGCTATCCAGCGAGCAAATAATGGTAACCCACCCTATGCATATATTTTGTCTAATGAATAGTGTCACCATGTTGGATCCTATGTTCTCTTTGCTGATAATTTTTCAGTGGTTTTGCCATCAATATATGCCTGGGGAAAACTCAGGCTCCAAAGAGTCTTATGGAACATCAAAAGCTGCCTATTTTTATTGTGTCATAGCTGACCACTTCCTCAAACGCTTGAAGTGACTTACAGACACATGTTTGGTAGTAGTGGGATTGAGAGGAGTGGAGTCAAAGGGAACTGAAACACAAAAAAGGTATGGACATCAGGAATGATTGGCCATTGACAAAAGAGTCTCTGTTCTTGCATTGATGAGCTGATTAACTCATTTTACATTCAATGGATTGTGAATTCTGGTCTTGCATATGTGCAGGAAATTATATGTTATATAATTCTTTATGATATCCTCAGTAGGATCTAAGGACAGGGACTCATGCAGTGTGATGTTGTAGACTTGTCTCACAGCCTTCTGCAAGTAAACATGTTCATGCTGATGATACATCCTCTTTTTCTGTCCTATTAAACTACAGACACTATTTTTTTCTGAGGCTGTTCTGTAAGGCTGTGTGCTAACATTCCATATGGCAGTGTCCTCAATGATGCTGTTTCTGATTGCCTCAGCTTGGCCTCACTGATACAAGCATTCTGTGTAAAAATCTAATCCAGTGTTAAACAACCATCTGGAGATTAAAGGGGAGGAGACTTTCAAAAAAGATAGCCATGTTGATTCAAGAGGATGAAACAAAACCAAAATCCGTAGGAAAGCAATATCATTATTAGGACCATCTAACATTCCACAAAATTGTGCAAGCATTCAGGTTCTACAGAATTTTTCATCTGGCTAGCTTTTAAAAATAAATTTCTCCCCCCAGAGTTTTCATACCACCTAGCCTAATTAAGAAGTCTAGAGATCTCAATCATCTAAAGCTTTCTGGATGCTTCCTACTGTGTCTCGTGTATCATTGCTCTATCCACAGGTCTGCTAGAAATGATATAAATATAAGAAAGAGAAAAACAGGAGAGAAACAACTTTGCTCATCTCTTGGCATGCCTTGGCTCAAAAGGGCTGAATTATCGTAAGCCTCTAATTGCCAGGCTTCTCCAGTCTTGAGCTCTCTGCTGTTTAAGATCATGATGGGATTGGGGAGGAGGATAAGAGTACTAGTATTTGGCTCCTTCTCCTCAACCAGCTCCCCAGTCCAGGAATCTTCTTCACCACATAGTCCCATTCCCTAGGGGGCTCTAATTCATCCTCCATCTTCTCCACCTGAAGAGCTCCCCCTGCCTCCTCTTGAGCATCGCCCCAGGCCTCTTCCTCCTCCTCCTCCATTATTAGGTCCACCTATTCTCTTTCTGGCTGCTTCCTCACTTCCTCCAGAACCTCCCTTATATCTTTGAGTTCCCCA